GTTTGTATCGTTATTTAGATTGCATTATAGTTTTTATGCATTACGTCATGAAGATTTGAAGAAGTTTTCAAGTTCAATATTTGATTTTTTGGTTTGCAATATAAGGTAATAATTTTATATTGATTTGTTTCATGATTTTGATTGTATTATAATTTTATTTATGTTTGTATCGTGATTTTTGTTTGCATTATAACTTTTATGTATTAGGTGAAGATTTAAAATGTTCAAGTTCACTATGTAATTTTTACATTATGTTGAACGTTTTTTGGTTTGCAGGTTTTCGAGTTCTTTAACGTTTATATATCAAGTCTTGAAAATTTGAAGTTTTCAAGTTTGGGTTGTGAGAATTTTTGATTATGATTTAAGGTAAGGATTTTATGCAAGTTTGTTTTGTAATTTAGAGTGTATTAGAATGTTATGTATGTTTGTATCATGATTTTGATTGAATTATATTTTTAAGTATGTTCTTATCGTAAGTTTAGTCGTATTATAATTTTATGTATGTTCATATTGTGATTTTGATTGCATTATTTTATCTATTGGGTTATAAAAATTTGAAGTCTTTAAGTTTGRTATGTGATTTTTTACATATCGTATGGTTGGTCCATTCACTATTGTGTTTTTCAAGTCAAGGTGTGTGTTGAGGATGAAACATGGTACATGTACATCATCCTTTGAAAGAGACATTCTTAAGTTTGTGTCAAATTCCTTAATATTTCCGTCGTTATTATTACTCATTTTATTTAGTTTTACAACTTTATTACTAAATAAATCTCTCTCTCAATATATATATATATATATATGTGTGTGTGTGTGTGTGTATATATATATATTAAAATTTCACTAACTATATTTTATTTAACTTTTTCGAATTATTTGAATACGATTTGTTGATGATTCTATTAACAATTATTATATATTTATATAGACAAATCATCATATCATTAATCAAAGTACTCATATTACCGTGCAATGCACGGTTCCCATACTAGTTATATTAAATGAAGACAATTTTGGAATAAACTTTATTTATTTTGGAAGATAATCATATCTTACTTTTTTAAAGATAATCAATAATATTATTTAATAATTTTTAATTTTTTAAAGATATTCATATTTATTTTTGAAAAATAATTAATAATAATATTTAAATAATTTTTGTTTAACCAAAAAATCAAAAAGTTTATCAGTAAAATCAGAAAATGAAACAATGATAGATTTTTGTATAAAGTTCGGTGAACAAAAAAATAAAACAACTCATAGATGAATAAAAAATTGAAACAATGATTTTTATCTAAAGTTCATAGGTGAAATCATGAAGTGAAACAATGATTTTTATTTAAAGTTCATAAGTGAACCCAAATGGTGAATGAGATATTTAAAAAAGTTTGAACATGTTCATAAGTGAAATAAAAAATTTCATCTGTAAAACAATTAACTGAATAAGATAATTATGAAATGTAATAATTAAATGAATACGATTACTTAAATAAATAAAATATTTAAGAAATATGGAATGAATAAAATACTGTAATTAACAAAATTTGTACTATTTATTTAATTAACAAACTAAAGAGTCTCTATCTGTAGATATCGGTCTTCTTTGCACTTTCATGGTAATAAATATTTAATATTCAAAGTCTCGTTGAAGTTTATGGTCAATGGAGGGGGTATCATGTGGCCTCTTGACTCAAGTTTTCTTGATGACTTTTGTCATTTTCTATATACGTAAATATTCATTATAAATTAAAATTAACGTAACTATTAAGTACAATATAAATCAGTAGAGTAAGGAGTTGTTTACCAAATACTTATCTGATAAACATTTACCGGTAAAATTAAATGCTTTTATTTACTTACTGCGTAAGATTTTAGTCAACAACAATGACTTTCTATGCGACAATTTACCTGGTAAGAGCTAATTGTGGTAAGAGTCATTGCTCTCATTTATCGGGTAAGACTCTTAGTCCTTGTCTCAATCTTACCGGGTAAGATTTTTCGTCCTTACCATATTCATCCGGTAAGGAAATATAACTTGGTAAGTGTTTACCCAAATAAGCATTTGGTAAATGGCTCCTAAGCTAAATTTTCATTCATGTAGTTTGAGAAAGATTACGATTTTTGTTCATGTGGTTTTGAAATTGTATTTTAATCCCCGAGGTTTGTAAATTATATTATTGTTTTCGTTCCCCAGATTAAATATGTTAAAATTCTTCATTAACTTAAGGGTATTTTAGTCTTTTTGATTTCTTTTTCTTTTTTAGTTTAAATATTTTTTTTGGAATTTTTGATTTAATAAAATTATATATCTTTATAAGATCAAAATATTAACTATTTTTAGGCTATTTTACCAAACAAATTACAAATGCATGTAATTTTATTAATATTGCGTACAATTGTTTGGTCTCATAAGTTATTCAATATATTAATCAAATGCATGTCATGTATAAGTGTGTTACAATATGTTTATAAAATTATACGTTTTGTAAGTCTCAACCATCAGATTTGTAAATTATCAACCAACATATGATTCAACACTTAGAAACAAATTCTTATTACTTCTTGTAATACTCATATCTGATATACAACAGTCAGTTATGACTTCTATGGATTGACATCCGGACCTTTAAAAGTTCAAGTGTTCAGATCTCGGCCACCATCGGATCTATAGCTTAATAAAATGTGAGATCAAATCTTAGATTTGATTATTCTCCATCCGAATATGAGAATTCAGTTGACCTTAATAAAATGTGAGAATTCAAATCCTCTTGGTTATTCCATCTTGATTTTCAAAAATCCACGTTTTAGTTTAAGTTATTTTAGAATCATATGTTCTTATTTCATAATTATTCTATAGCTCAAATCCGATCTATGGCTTATATTTCAGAATACAAAATATATGATTTTTCCTCTGTGAAAGTCTTGTGACTATATGTATTAATCCAAGAACGAAAAACTTTCAACAAAATAGGAATCAGGTGCAAGTTGGTTCCCCAAAATGACGATTTTAAAAGTTGGTTCCTCAAAATAGGAATTAGGTAAAAGTTGGTTCCATTTAGATGCAATTTTTCCTAAAACATTTGATAAAAATATTAAAAACCATTTAACGTATTTTATATGAAAATAAAGTCTAAAAAAAATAGTATCTATGCGGAATGAAATTTGTTGGTCTACTCAAATAATTGAAAGTAAGTAATGGGCTCAAACTCGATTGTTATCACTTCACACGTCTTTAAGAAGCTATGGAAGAAGTCAATATATTTGTAACTACTTAGGGGTACAATTCTTGAAATATAATTGCCTACTTTAGTCTAGTTTTTCTAACCTAAATATTTAACCCGCTATGTGAGTCGATTAATCTCATGATAACCACATACTTTACGGGTACTCCAGAATCATCGCATTTGAACCTTTGTGGCCACAAGAAGATTTTTATTCTTTCTAGGATTTGAACTTGAAACCTCCAGACACTTTTTAACCTTTGGAGCAAGCTCAAACCAATCAGACACAATCCTTATAGTTTACTTTAATCTCATTTTTATTGTAGAAATTATTTTTAGAGCTTAATTTAAAGGTATATAATTTGATAGATCTTTTTTTAATGCTTTTTTTATTAACCTGGATATCCAACCCGCTATGCGAGCCGACTAATCCCAGGACGACCACCTCTTTTGCAGATGGTCCGGAGTCATCGTATTTGAACCTCCGTGGCCACAAGAGGATTTTTATTCCTTCTTGGATACTTAATACCTAATGACTCGTATAATGTAAATGAAATTTGATGTGATTTTGAATATTTGTTCTCTAAAATAGATTTTCTTTTTCTAATTATAAATCGTATAAAATTAACATTATTTAATTATAGTACAAACTTTTAAGTTTTAAATGTGGTTTTTGAAAATATGTTTCACAAAAATAAATTTTAAATGAAAATACGTTTCGTTCAATTTATTTTGCCCTAATTTTAATTCAGTGGGATGATTCGAGTTACGTTTAATTTTTAACTTGTTTTTTTATGTAAAATTACAACCAAAACCTAAACAAACGAACTCAGTATAACACAACAGAAATTAAAAGAGTGTCATATACGTAAACTTTTCATTTTCTTTATTACAAGACAGATTAAGAATACATTTATTAACTCATTATAAGTCGAAAGAGTTTAACTTCTTCAAAAACTTCTTATTACCGGTTTGGCACTGGTATAAGTTGTTTATCCAAACACTCAAAAATGTTTATCACCGATACTACGCCGGAACAAGTCAATAAATTGTTTATATAAGCAATATCAAACACCCCCTTAAAAAACGTTCGAATAGGACTTAAGTGTTACAATACTTTAAACCACCACGTTACAAAATGTGCAATATTGTTTAATAATAACTTTTGTGATCATATTTAATCCATAATTTATTTAAACTTTATAGTTTTAAAACTTTTAACCCATCCGATCCGTATATTTAGCATCATCAATCATGGGCTAAAACGTCATTATCTTTTTACTCGATGAATCAATTGTTGAGGTTTAACAAACTTTCGGAGTATAGAATGTACACAAGTCGTTACGTTGAATGTCAAAATCGAATTTTGATCATGGGAAACAATATGATTGCCATGGAAGAAGTCGATTAAGACACATATCTAACAAATCGAAGTTGCATTATGACCATTAAGCCTTAGGTAAATATTGTGATGACTAATTTAAGTTTTTGAAAACAAAACACACAGTAAATAATAGACAAAATAGCTATAAAAAGCATGTTGCTTCCAAGCAATTGCGTGGAAATTTCCACTCGTGTTTTTTTCTCCGTTCACTCGGCTTAATTACATGCACCGTTCAGTCAGTCACACCCCTATCTACAGCTGTTGCTGTTGTGTGTGTGTATGCATATATATATATATATATATACACACACACACACACATATATATATATATATATATACACACACACAAACATAAAATATTCATTTACAGAACCCTAGTTTCATAAGTTGATCTAGAGAGAGAGAGAGATCTAGAGAGAGAGAGAGATGGAAGGAGGAGGAATGGTACCAGGGTTTAGGTTCTACCCAACAGAAGAAGAGTTGATAACATATTATTTGAAGCATAAGATTGAAGGGACTCCAAGTTTGCAACAAGATATCGATCGAGTCATACCCCAGCTTCATGTTTATGATTTTTATCCATGGGATCTCCCTCGTTAGTACTCCATTCATTCATTTCTACCTTTTCATTTTTTTGTATTAACCTGGATATCCAATCCGTTATGAGAGCCGACTAATCCCAGGGCGACCACCTGCTTTGCAGATAACCCGGAGTCACCGCATTTGAACCTCCGTGCCCACTAAGGGATTTTTATTCCTCCTGGGATTTGAACGACCTCCTAATACTTTTGACCTTGGAGCCAAACTTAACCCAATCAGATGTGGTTTTCATTTCTTTCTTTCAATTAATCCCCCAAACCCTAACCATTTTTTATTAATTCATTTCTTTAGATTATAGAAACCAAAAAACTTTACAAAACCAAAAAAATCATTAAAACCCTAATCTTGATGGTTGGTGTTCATGCAATAAGGTGTTTGGATTGCAATATTTTCTGTTTATTGCAGGTTAAATGTTAAGAATAAACCAAAAAAAATAGAGAAATCTTTAGCTTTCTTTTGTGTGTGTGTGTATATATATATATATATATATGTTTGTATTTATGTGATCAATCAATAATAGATCTGATTTCACAGAATATGCAGGAGAGCGTTGTCAAGGAGACCCTGAACAATGGTTCTTTTTCATTCCAAGACAGGAGAAAGAAGCAAGAGGAGGACGACCGTCCCGCCTCACGAGTTCCGGCTACTGGAAGGCCACTGGCTCTCCAAGAATCGTGTACTTTTCGAGTAATCGAGCCATTGGGATCAAGAGAACCCTAGTTTTCTACAACGGTAGAGCTCCCAACGGTACGAAAACCAAATGGAAAATGAATGAATACAAGGCTTTCCAACAAGAGCCCTCAAACACTAACCCTAAACCCAAGGTATCTATCATTAATTAATACTAAATTAATCTTCTTTGCTTTGATTTATCTGATCACAGATTTTGATAAAATGTAGTTGATTGAAGAATTTAGTTTGTGTCGAGTGTATGTAAAATCGAATTGTTTGAGGTCATTCGACAGACGACCACCAGGAGTTACGATAAACGAGCAAGTACCAATTCCGCAACCTTTTCACAACAACGAACATCACGCAACCACATCAACTCATCTTAATAACCGTTCATCGAGACCAGAGAGAACAAGCTCATCTGATCATAGCTATAACTCATCAGATGACCAGACCGGTAACGATTCTCACTCTACGATGAAGACCGATGATCAATTACCTTTGTGGGAATGGGAAGAACATCAAACCTGGTTCTAAGTTTTCACCTTTTGGATTAATTGTTGTATGCTTTATATAACCAATTAAGTTGAAGTTCATAGAGAACTTTGAGCTAATTAAATGGTTTAGTTTCAATTTTTGTACTAATTAATTTCACTACTAAAAAATTGGGTATTACCGACCGAATTTTCTGGCGGATGTTCCGTCGGAAAAATCCCAAAATAGTCAACAAAAGGGATGAGCTGCCTTTACGACATCGGGTCATCCTTCATCGGATCTGGTCGGTGTTATACCTTTTGATTGTTTGTAGTTTTTCTTTAAATCTTGTTTACTGTATCTCGTAATATTTTTCGGGGTTTTCTTCTTTGCATTGCACCTTTTTGTTTTAAATAATATGATGCCTTTTTAAAAAAATTCAATTAATACTTATACTTTACGTTTGATTTAATTCATTTTGACTGTATTGAAAATAAAATGATAGCCTATGGAATGTTCTTTGGCTTTACGAATAGTAGTTTGTCATCTTAACTTAAAACATGTCAAGATGTTCAAATAAGGAAAAAGAACCTTCCATATTTAGTATTACAAATTTCAAATTTACAATTAACCACATATATACACTACAACAAAATCGGGTTTATAAGAGATTTCTAATTTCTAAGTGTCTTAATAGACCTCTTTATAAGACTTAGTTTATAGGACCAAAAAAAATAAAACGTCCTATATAAAGGTGTTGTAATAAGTTTATATAACGTTTTTTTGATGTCGTAATAAATTTTTTAGGACACTTTAATACAAAGTATCCTATTAACAATTTTATAGGACATTATTTGAAAAATCATCCTATAAAAACAAATGTCCTATAAAAAATTGAGTTTATAGAACACTTTCTCAAAAGTGTCCGATAAAGTTGCTAATGCGATACTTTGTATTAAAAATTTCCTAAAAACTTGTTAAGATGCCCAAAAGCGTCATATAAACTTATTACAATACCTTTAGATATGACACTTTATATTTTGGTCATATAAATTAAGTCATATAAAGCGGTCTATTAGGACGCTTAGAGATTGAGGGTGTCATATAAACCCAATTTTGTTGTAGTGATACCCGTTTGTTAATAGAGAAAAAAAGATAAATAAGAATAATTTGAAATCATGTTAGAATCCTGTAACACCTCTAAAATAGGATTAAATTTAAGTCGGAAAATCATCTACGTGAACAATACTTAAATAATAAGAAATCACCCAAATAATGGAGAAATGTAAGCGTTTACAACAAACAAAGGAATGGCAGCCAACAACCTAATAATCTAAACCAAACTAAGTAAAGATTAAACTTGGCATCAAAAAATTTCTAATCAATGTGTGACAGTATGCATCTTCAAAAGTATCATCCCAAAAATGCCCTTAACGGCAACCATCGCTCCGATTATACCTTGGGATCCCGCCGCTAATAGAACCTGATATACATGTCACTTAAGAAAAACTGTTAGGCTTAACGCCTAGTGAGAACAAACGTTTATAAATAATGTAAATAATCTCAAAAAGTTACAATTTAGAAGACTGATTTAAAACCTAAGTTTATACATTCCAATTAGAGACCATGAGGTCCAAAATACATCATACGATGACGGGGGAGACCCGATTTTCCATGGGTAGTGGTGGAGCACAAAAATAAACCACAATTTCATGTTATAGAGCTCATATTAAATATCAATGACAAATGAGTTCAACCAACCTGTGATTTATAAGTTTAGGACATTCTGATGATCCTAGTTATACTCATTCACTAGAAATTACATTAAGCGGCCAATAGCTAGAGTTCAACCAACTTGTAGTTTATAGTTCAAACCTTCCGATAACTCAATTTCTAATTTCAGTTACAAGTGAGAAAACTTTCCCATTTCAAAATAAACCGACTCATATGTCTACGCATCCATTTGCATTTAGTATAATATTTTCACAACTTAAAATGACCAACTATAATCGCACATTTCGTTCTCATCATTTAGATGTCCTCATAAGAACGTTTTTGACATAAGATATACCAAATAGAACCAGTTTCTCATAATTTCCAATAAACCATTTTCTTACCCAAATATCATATTATATTTATCAACCTTCCCCAAAAGCTTACAAGTTCAATAATGATCTTGATATACAAGTAATAACACTCACCGTTTTCCCATAAGTAATAAAATATCATATTATTTTTATCAACCTTAGAGATTTAAATGAAGCGAGAGAGTGTAGATTGGAGTACTAAATGAGGAAAAAGTCTGAGAAAAATCGGGTTTAAACAACCAACATACATCCCCATGGCTTTGGACACATTTATATATATATATATATATATATATATATATATATAAATGACGTAATTTTAAACGATACAAGGAGAATAATAAAATTCTAAATTTTCACGGGGTGGAGTCAGAACATCCGAAGATGACGGGGGAGATCCGATTTACCGTTGATTATGACGGAACACAAAGTAAGTCATAAATCAACGTTATAGAGCATCACTTACAGGTTTAATACCATTGACGTCAACCTAACCAGTCATGTAGTCTGTCGTGATCTTAAGCTCTTTATCTCGGAAATTACATAATAATCGCAATGCCTATTTCCGAGTGGGAGTGAGAAGGTGATTTGGAATTTACATAATGTCACAATGCCTAAATCCAACTCACACCACCCTTCACACCAATACAATGAAACAATTTTCATGTTTTCAAACCCATTATATTATAGTGATATATTTGAATACGGTATCATAAGCATAAAAGTACTTACTTGTCAATAGGAACTTACATGCGTCCTAACACAAGCGAAATAACCCGACTTTGCCAATAAAGAACTCCAAACTAGGGCATGAGAGTTTTAGAGTTTAATAATCAACACTACTTTGAGAAAGAGTGTTTTACCAAGTGATTTAACCATTTACCCAAACTCAATTTATCATTAAAACGAGATCTACCTAGTTCAACCTTTGACCCAAAATCTTCATTTCAACCAAGTAGTTAGATGTATGAAGTTAAGGCATGAGATAAAGAAAAGTACTTCCTTTCCATAGTATAAGGTTCCATTTAAAGATTTAAGTTGAACTCACCTCAGAGAATTTAGGAGAAATCCCAAAGTCTTGTAATTAAAAGGTAGGGGGAGAAGGATCTCAAAACCGAAACCACATCTACACCCGATCGGGTTTCCAACTTGCAGTCGAAACAGCACCTCGCTGCTTCGGTTTCTGATCAGACAGCAGCTGACTGCGCGTTTGCTTGAACCTTATCAGCAGTCACGACTGCTTCTTCGCGAACCGGCAGTCTTGCTGTGTCGTTACGTAAGTTGCGCGCCAAACAGCAGCTAGCTATTTCGTTTCTGACTGTTGCGTGATCAAACAGTAGCTACGGCTGTCCTTCACGCCCGACAGCAACAACCACAGTTGTTCTTCACTCCTGGCAGCAACTAAGGCTGTCCTTCACGCCCGACAGCAACAGCCACGGCTGTTCTTCATGCCCGACAGCAACAGCCACGACTGTTCTTCGCCGTCCCCAACCAGCAGCTACCGGCTATTTCTTCGCGAGCCAAACAACCCTTCTGCGCGTGCCGAGCATGGTTGATGTTGTGTTCCCGACCGATGTGCACCGAACAGCGGCTTGTTGCCGTTTCTTCATCAAAACAGGCAGCCTCGGCTGCTGTTTTTGGTCTCCAACCAGCAAACATCGGCTGCTGTTTTCGTTGCTGTTTGCTCTTCAAAACAGGCAGTCTCGGCTGTTGTTTTCAGGCTCCAACCAGCAGACATCGGCTGCTGTTTTTGTCTCCAAATGGCAGCTACTGATTGTTGTGATCGGTTCATACAGCAGCTACCGGCTGCGTCTTCTCCAACCCACCAGTTCAGCCCTTGATCCCTTCTTTTCTTTTCTTTTTCTTTCTCGAATAAGGCAGTCAAGAGTTCAAAGATTTTAGCAGGTAACACTTCTAAGATGGAGGCAACAGCAGGAAAACCGCAGGGAAAGAGGGAAGGAGCGGACTGCCGGCTCGACGTCGGGGCGGCACAGTAGCGCAGGGACACGGCGCAACCACAGCCGTGCAGGACTTAGCACAGCACAGCAGCGACAGCTGCTGCTGGGGTCCGAGATGTGACAGATTCGAGGAGGTAAGACGAGGCTGAAGGTGCGAGGGTCGTGGCCGACACCGGCAGCTGCTGGTCTGAGAAGTGACGGAAGAATGTAAACGGCACTGGCTGCTGCTGTTTGTGGTCTGAGAAGAAGCAGAAAACGCAGGTAACACCTGCTGGTGGCTCGAGAAGAAGCAGAAAACGCATACTGCACCCGCTGGTGCTGTTTTGCTTCCTCTTCTTCCTGCAGTTTGGTCAAACAGTTGCTGCTTTGCTGTTTCTTTTCCCGGCTTCCGATCGAACAGCAAATTGCTTTTCCTTCCCTTATAAACAGCCGGCTTCACAGGGCTGTTTTCTTCCTCAGATTGCTTCCTTCTCCCAGTGAGGAGATGCTTCTCCTTTTCCCCTTTTCTTTCTCTTTTTCTTTTATTTCCCTATGTACTGTCCCTTTCCCAAGCAAAATCCTACTCTAGAGTTTACATGGGAGTTAAAATCTCCCATGGAAAAGGGGAAACCTTAAGGAAAAAA